CCAAGAAGATGCTAGACGGTGCTGCCTATTTAGTAAACAAACAAAAGTTTGGTGTTTTTTTTTTTAAATAAGGGTTTCTTTTTCTTCGGTGAGCTACAACAGCATAGAAAGAGACTGAATTGACACTGCTCAGCTTTGCCCACTATTGGGGGCTCCCCTCAAAGAGTGGATTCTGTGTGACAGCTTTCAGTTTTAGTGAGCAGGATCTGAATGAAGACCAGTCTAAGAGTCAGGAGACCTGGCTTTTAGTCCAAGCTAATCATTTCTGTCACCTTAGATAAGCTGCTTCATTTCTTTGAACATTCTATGCTTCAGTCATCGTCTGTCAAATCAGGAAAGAGAATGCTTACTTGTACTATGATCTTGTTTTAAGGATCAAATGATGTTGCTTTGAAAAAAAGCACTGGAAAAATCTAACAATACTCTGCTTACCATCATCACCATCACTGTTGACATTTATAGAGTATAAAGCGTGCAAAGTGCTTTATCATACGTTCTCATTTAAGCTTCACAACAACCCTGCAAGGTTGTACTGTGGGAATTATTATCTCCATTCAAGAGATGAGAAAACTGAGGTTCAGAGAAATTAAATGATTTGCCCACAGTCACAAAGATGAAATGCCTGAAGCAGAATTTGAACCCAGGCCTTCTTGTCCCAAAGTCTGACACACTAATTCACTCTGTCATGCTGTCTCCATCAACAACACAGTTGTAGAGTCAAAAGAAGAAGAAAAAAAGCCTCTGAACAAATAAATAATTGTAATAAAACTTGCACACTTTACTGGGTAGCAAAAGTAGAGAACCTTTCAGGCCAGACAATTGTGTGTAAATAAGACTTCATATAATAATACTAATGTAGTGTTTTAGGATTTGAAAAGCATTTTGTAAATACTATCTCATCTTATCCTCACAACAACTCTGGCATATAGGTGCTATTTTTATCTTCATTTTATAGGTGAGGAAACTGAAGTCAAAAGGGGTTAAGTGCCTTCGATCAATTTATCAGTAATCAATGAATAAACATTTATTGAATGTCTACTATGTATGTGCCAGGCAGCGTGCTTGCCTGGGGACACCCAGCTAGTAAGCATCAGAAGCCAGATCTGAACAATGACAACATTAAGAAGGGACAAAACACAGCCAGTGCTCAAGCCATTTTGGGCCCAGAATAAACTGTTATGATTGATCAAACATCCTGTCTTTGATTTTACCCAGTACAAATTTGTATCTCCCTCCCTGCCAAAAACAAAACAAAACAAAACAAAATCTATTAAAACTACATAAATTCACAAGTCAGTAAAAATACATGGCTTAATTCTGAAGTTACGTTTTACATTGCTTATTCTTTTTCTAGTTTTCAGTTTTGTGCCAGTTGGTCTTAAATTGCTTTGCCAATTAATGAAACAGTTACACATTCTAAAAGTTTGACCATAAGCTGAATGTTAAATCTTGGAATGCTTTTACAATAAAAACAATGTTAGGTTCCCAGGCTAGACCATCAGATAGATTACTAAAATCAAAATGTACTAAATTACCAATAGTTCTGAATCTTGGGAACAAACGGTCATGGGGCTTAAGAACGAAAAAGGGAAAGGTTTCTTAATTTTCTATGTGACAGGGTTACCTCAGCCCTTAACACTTAGATACCCCACCCTGGCATGCCCTACTCCCCATTAAAGTACTCCATACATGCTCAGATTTTTAAAATCTAGCCAATGGCTCTCATTCAATCTAGCCTGCTTGTCTATAAAAGCGTCACAAATGCTCAGATTCCTTTAAGAGTCTGGCCAATATGGCAAATCTTTAATAAACCTTGTCTTTGGCTGAAAAAAAAGTACTCCATACATAAAAATTATCTATTTTATTCCCCTCTGGGGGAAAGAACAACTAAGTGCTAGGAGGATTCAGTTATTATTTCATAGATACAAAGAGATGTTCTGAAATCTATAGTTTTAGAAAGGTGCCTGGGGGGGAGGGAGAGGGGTACTGCCAATCTAAGAGACTTTCTTAGTCACACAGCCAGTATAGATGTGTCAGAAGCAGGATCTGAACTCAGGTCTTGGTTACTCAGAGGATGAGATCTGTGAATTAATTTGCTTGATAAGAACTAGCACAATGGGTACAGCTGGTATCACATTAAATAGGCTTCAGTTCAAGTCTCTCCTCAGGTCCATAATTGGTGGGTAACCTTGGACAAGTCACTTAACTTCTCAGTGTCTCAGGCTATTCTCTAAGACCATTGTTGCAAAGAGTGCACCAGTTGGCACTGGAAGAGGGAATTTTCTCCCTGGGAGTTCCTAAATCCATGGCCAGAACTGATTCATACTTAAGATTTTTATATATTTTTATCTTTAAAAGGGATACTTGTCAACCTACAAGAATATCTAATAGGTAGAAATTCAGGTTTAGTAAGGAGAAAAAAGTGAAGAATTCAGGCAGTTATAGGGGAAGATGTTATGTCAGAAGGCACCCTGGACCCTGCTCCGTGCCACCCTCACTTTGCCTGGGAATCTAGACCCTAAGATCAGTTATATTATGCTATGCTATTATGCTATTATGCATTATGCCTTCCCCAGGAACAGATTATTCTTGACTTCTACTTACAAATTCCCAGAGTCTCTCTAAGACTCACATTTTTTCACAAGAGCTGCAATGTCAAAGGTCACGATAAGAGTAAGGTATAAGGTGGGGTGGGACATTTATGTGTTCACATGGGTCACTGGTATATAAGGTATTTAAAACCCAGGGACTGTCTCTTTATACCACACAATCTAGATTGGGTTATTCAGTCAATGTTTAGCTTTTTTGGTTGTTTTTCCTAACAAACCAACATGACATTTTACAAATAGATCAATTCATTATGCTACCTTCTATCTATCTTCAAAGGGGATAGCAGAAAGAACCATTTTTTGACAAAGAGAATACACAACTAGTTTAAACCATAAACCCGAACTTCGAAAATGGATGAATTGGAAAACACAGATTATGGCTCAGGATGGGTACATCTTATTCAGGAGAAACAGCATAGATTTTTCTTAAAGCAGGATGAGATAGGGAGGGGTAGAATAGACTAGTAGATGGAATTATATTCATGTGAGGAAATCCAGAAACCAGAAAAGAGAAGTGCAGTGGACAGAAAGTGGGCAAAGATCAACAGAGACAGAAACAGATGTAATATTGTCATCTGAGCAGACAGACCACCCGGATGGAAAAAAGAAACAAATGAGGAGCCCAGAAACAGATCACAAACTTGACACAAAGGCGTAATATAGGATGGAGGACTTCTAATTGTCTAGATGTCTGCTGGAGCCTTCTCTCTCTGCCTAAAGCCAAGCAGCTAATAACTTCTCAATTTGGGAGTTTATTCCTCATCCTATTAGTGTCTATTCTCTGTTTCACTGTATTGATTCAGCTTTTGGTTACATCATTAACATTTCCAAAGTCTGAGATTTAGCTACATGGGAGACAGCGTGCTTTTCTTCTCTTCTTGAAAAAGAGGCAACTCACTGTTCAGAACGTTGCTTATTCTCTTTCTAATGAGCTTACAAACCCCACACCAGGTATTTTGTATACATCATTTTCCACAAATATATCAAGCATGAGCTACATTTCTTCCTCATTGTCATAGAGTTGCAGCCTGGGGTGGCCCCACTGAGTCCTCAAGCACCAGGAAGCATGTGGCTTCCTCCATTCCTCATTCAGGAACCTTACTTGGGTGGTGGAGAGAGAAAAAAGAACTACCAATGTATAAATACGGCAGCCTGAGGCCATTTAGTGACAGAATAAAGCACTCCTCAATAATCCCAGAGGGCTTCACAGTGATGCGACATGTTGAATAACTCATGTTAATGAGGAAAGCTCTAAGTCATCAAGAAAAGATTAAATTAGGTTCAGTATTTTGTGCTTAAGAGATGGAGACTGGACTTGTAAATTCATTGACATAGTGAACTCCCAGATGAGGAAAATCCTTCTTCCGATGCCAGTCAGGATCTTCTCTACAACTTAAAACTTTATGAGAGTTGCTTAGAACACTAAAAGGTTAAGACTTGGGGTCATATAGCCAGTATGTCAGAGACAGGTCCTGACTCCAGGTCTTCTTGGCTTTCAAAGCCAACTCTTTATCCATTACATTTTCTAACTCTTTGAAGAGAGCAAAGAAATATGTAATCTACTCTAGTAAGATTTCCATTAAAAATTATTTACATAGTAATCTTAGAAGTGAAAAGGCATAAGCTTTAGTGAGCTAAAAATTCATTTATTGGAATACCTCACTCCCTTATGATGCCAGGTAAGTGTGACATTATTGTATTATTATTATTATTACCACTATTATTATTAAAATCGAATATGCCAGTAGAAAGTTCATTACTATAGAGATCCCTAGCAAACTATGCAAAAACAAAAAAAGGATCCGCAACACAAAATATAACTTTGAGTTAAGCATGTACATTCGATTTGATTAGTCTATTCATTTAAAGAATCTATATGGTCATTGGAAAGGCACTTTAACCATCAGTAATCAGAGCCAGAAGGAACCTTAAGGATGATCTAGTATCTAGTCTCTCATTTTTATTTTTCATGTGAGAAAGCGACAACCCATAAATACAGAATGACTTCTCCAAGTTCATGATGGCATAAGTGGAAAGGGGAAATCATATCTCCTAACTCCCACTTTAAGTCTTCTTACACGAAATAACCATTTGGTAAAACTTTAGCTTATATGAACCAAAGTCATTTTAAAGAATTGAACCTCTGTTTTTATAAGTTTCAAATCCACAGAACATCAAAGACATTTTCTTATAAAACTAAGAGCCCTCTAAGGAATAATCTAAGAAAATTAATTAGTCATATACTTGTATCTGCATGGAAACATCATGATTTTAACTAAAACTATTTGAGTGCTATTTCAAACAGTGGAAATAATGTTAAGAAAACCAAGTTCTTTTTCAGAAGAGAGAATGATATATTGACTCAATGACTCTTGTTTCTTGATTACTTACCAATTTAGATAACGCTCTAGAACCTGCGTAGATTATCCCCACAAACAGCATTGAAGAGGGAAGCCATGACAGAACCTTGGCCCTGGGGGAGGGGGTAAAATTCACACTTCATTACCAAATAGCATGTCAATCATAAAAGGCACAACTAATTAGCAGCAGAGCCTGCAGAGAGACCACATAGAGTTAAGAGTGATGATTTGACAGTAATTGACAGGTTATGTGAGATGTATTTTGGTGTCCAATGAAAAATGAGTCAGGCAAAGTCCTCCCTCACTCTTTTGAGAAAGTAAGGAAGAAAGGAAAAAAGAAAGAAAGAGAAAGAGGAAAAAGAAAAGGAAAGAAGGGAGGAAGGAAGGAGGGAAGGAGGGAGGGAGGGAAGGAAGAAGGGAGGGAGGGAAGGAAGGAGGGAGGGAAGGAGGGAGGGAGGGAAGGAAGGAGGGAAGGAAGGAAGGAGGGAGGGAGAGAAGGAAGGAGGGAGGGAAGGGAGGAAGGAAGGAGGGAGGGAAGGAGGGAGGGAGGGAAGGAAGAAGGGAGGGAGGGAGGGAAGGAAGGAAGGGAGGGAGGAAGGGAGGAAGGGAGGAAGAGAGGAAGGAAGGAAGGAAGGAAGGAAGGGAGGGAGGAAGGGAGGAAGGAAGGGAGGGAGGGAGGAAGGAAGGGAGGGAGGGAGGAAGGAAGGAAGGAAGGAGGGAGGGAAGGAAGGAAGGAAGGAGGGAAGGAAGAAAGAAAGAAAGAAAGAAAGTAAAAGAAAAAAAGTACACTCCTGTTTAATTTTCCCTTCAAATTTCTGATTGATCCACTTAGCACTACTGCTTCTATAATGGGGATTGATATGAGATGGAAACAGAGCATTACAAGCCAGAAGAAAGAAGAGATTTTGAATTTTAATCAGAGTCAAACAGAGATAGGGGGAGGGGGAAGAATTCCATCCAGGTTTCTGCATTTAAAAGGTGCTGACAAAACTCACAGTCTTTCAGCAGTGTAGAAACAAGAGTTTAGCACCTAGTTGACAAGGATAAGTAATTAAAATAGTAGGATTAGATGGCGGAATGGGGTGGAGTGAGCTCCCTCCTTGCCCCACCTCTGCTCCTTTCCCTGCAAGGGTCCCACTACTCAGCAGGGTCCCCAGCAGCCTTGTGCCAGGCTTCCTAGGGTCTCCTATGAGGTAGTGTCCCACACTCCTCGATTTTAAGTGAGGGTGCCTTCCATACCATCTGCCCCAGGAATGGTTTGTGGTATGACTATGTGCCAGTCACTGTACTAAATACGTCACAAATACTATCTCATTTGATTCTCACAACAACCCCGGCAGGTAGATACTGTTATTTTCCTCATTTTACAGTTGAGAAAATTGAGGCAAAGGATAAGTAACTTGTCCAGAGTCACACAGCCAGTAAATGTCTGAGGTCAAATTTGAACTCTTCATAACTCCAGGCACAGTGTTCAATCCCCTGCATGACCCAGCTGCCTCCAGGCAGACTTTGAGGAGACAATGTAGTAAGACAGAAAGAATATTCACTGGCTCTGGAGTCAGAGACCCTGGGCTCCACTCTCACCCCTGAATCTTAATAACACATGTATTAATAATACCTTAATAATACCAGTAGGTCATCTGAACTCCCTGAGCCTCAATTACTTTATCTGCAAAATAAACAAGTTGGAGTAGATGTCCTCTAAGGTCTCTTCTAACTATAGTTCTGTGATTACTCTGGGAGTAAAAATTCCTAGTTACAGCTCTGCAAATAAGTGAACTATTCTTTATCTCTCAAATACGTTAAAAATAAAAGTCATAGACCAGTGCCAAATTGTTAAAAAAAAAAAAAATGACTGAGTGTTGTTCCTTCTGTTTGACTAAGAAAGCTTCTTTTGACAAATGTACCCGACAGCTCCACCCAACCAAAGTAAAAGGAATGATATCCTTACAGGACAAGAGCCAAATGGAGAGTGATGAAAAGCCATCTCTACAGCCTCACAAAGGCTGCTTAAACCATTAATCTGACATTTCCTGTACACCCAGTTTCTGGGAATCTTCAAGGACTAAGGAGAAATTTTCTTTGATTCAATTATGGCACTATTAGGAACTGCCTTTTCAGTGTGATTTACAGCTTGTAACATGCTATAATCTTGTCCCTCACAAGAAAAGCACTCCTCTTCCCCAGACAGTCCAGGGTCCAGGTTACTGATGCCCCATCTCACTGCCTGTCACTTATAAATGGGTTTCCATCTAGTGCTTGAAACTCCTGTCATTTTAACAACCGACGCAAACAAATGAAGCTATTCCAGCAAAAGGCACTCATTTCAGGTAATTCAACGCTGAGTGTCAGTTATCGGAAATTGCCCAACATGAATGGTACTTGCCCACAAGTAAGTTCTTCAGAGGTCTGAAGTGCATGTGCAGACACGTCATCCCTCACGCCCCCATTCTGCCTTTGTTCAAGCTGCAGAACCCTGAAAGACAGACAGTTCCTTGCCTGCTGCAAAGCAAAATTAAAACACAAGTCATCTGTGAGAGATTCCCTGGCTCCCAGAAGTACTGGAGTAAAGAGATGTCTGAAATCTAAACCCCAAGGCAAACAGAGTGGGGAAAACAGAATACTGCTTTGGGGCCAAAACCTTCTCCAACGCTTCAAGAAGGGTCAGCCTATTGCTAAATTTCTTCCAGGAAAAGGCTTCGGCATTAAGTGTCTCTGGTTCTAGCCGACATGGGGTACTGCAAACAGGATACAAGCAAGAAACAGAAACAGTCAAGTGTAGTGTTGTGGTAAGAAGGATAGAGGATAGATGTCAACATCAAGAAAGGATCAGCTCCTTTAAGGAAGGAGACTGTGTTTTGGGTAAAATGGCAGCTGGCACAGCTGGAGGCATAGGTCCTTGGTATGTAAGGTCAACGAGATTGCAAATATTTGTTCTTGATTCCCTCTTGCGAAATAAACAAAGCAAACTCCTGCTGGCTTAGATATTCCAAGAGACACCAGTAAGGCTGAAAAGTCACTAGACCTGAAGGAAAAGAAAACATTGCTGGGGAACATCTTGTCTGTTTATTCTTCTACCCCAAAACACAATAAAAAAATAGGGGAAAGAAACAAAACAAAATAAAAACAAGAGTCATGGCTTAAACCAAAAAGATTTTGGCAAATTTCTGAAATATGTGTTGCTTTGCATTAGATACACACAACCTCCCAAAGTGGGAAAGATTATTTATCTCCACATGTGCCATTGACCATACAGACACTCTGGGAGCTGGTACCTGGGTTGCCATAAGGGCACAGAACTAAGCTATCTTCAACACAATTTGAAAGTCATTAGAAGCACAAACTCTGAGTTGGAAAGGAAGTCAGAGGTTTCATCCAAGCAGCACTTAACAGGAATACACTTTTCAACAACACCAACAAAGTCATCCAGTCTCCACTTGAAGACCTTCTTCAATGAAGAGGAAGCTACTACTTTCTGAGGTATCCCACTCTACTGCAAGACAGCCCTAACTGGGAGGGAAATGTTTCTCCTTACATCCAATATATTTAATCTACCTATCTGAAATTTCCACCCATTTTTCCTAGTGCCACCCACTGGGGTAGGAAAAGTATAAAGCCTTTTCTAAGTAACAGGCACTCAAATACTTGAAGGCAGCTGCTGGTTTCCCTTCTCTAGGCTAAACATCCCATTTCTTTCTTATGGTATAGTTTTCAAGCCTTTCCTCATCTTGATTACCCGACTCTAGCTTATCAATGCTTTTCCTAAAATGCAGTGCCCACAACTGACCCAGGACATGGTACAAAAAAGCTATCACCACCCTCAGTCTTGACTATCATGTTTCAGTTAACGGAGCCTAAGAAAGCTTCTTTGGCCACTCTGTTACAATGGTTCATTCATATTGAGCTTAAAGTCCACTAAAAACCCCAGATCTTTCTCATATGAACTTGAAACAGAACATTAGTCAGCCTTACTTTGAGTTTTGCCTTTAAATGTTTTGCATCATTTTCTTCTGCATTTGTGTCTTGAATGTCCCTGCCACCATAACAGCTATTCCAGTGACGTTCTTTTTGTTTATGTGCCCAATTCTTCCAGCCAACTTCTTGACTTTGAGTTTGATGTTAGGGCTGGGCTAGTGCTTCTGGAAGGAAGCAGCTGGCCCTGGTGCTGCTTTCTTGGTGTACTGATGGTTAGGTTATTCCAGGATCTCAGGGACAAGCTGGGGGACCTGCAAGCTTTCTATGCTCCCAAAGTGGTCTGATGGCAAATAAAGGTGCTGCATCCCTGGTCTGAGCCCAGCAAATTCCTGACCTGGGTCTGGATCTGAGCGAAAGCAGACTGCCACTGATCAACAGCAGAGTACAGTAGACAGTAGGCAGCCTCTATCAGTGGCTAGAAAGCTTTGTTCATTCAAAGTGCCAGAATTGTAGGTTCCCCTTTGATCTGAGATGCCTGTCCTGGTTATTCCTTTGCAGGGTGGGCTAGATGCTAGAACTGAGTCCTCACTCTGCTCCTGGTGTTTGAGTCATACAGCTGTTGTTTACTTCTGAAAATCCTCCTTTCCTCCTTTCTCAATATACTGCCCAGGGCCTTCCTATCAAGGAATGCCACCCTTAGGTACAGCTATTTTCTCAATCCACCCTAAATCTGTTACTCAGAACTCAGTAGTGTACAACCAAGCTGCCAGTCATCACCTGTCCCACTCTGGGTAGGCGGTGCCCTGGTATGGGTCTAGGACCTCCACTCTCCCTGGTTCATAGCCTCTTCCTGGACACTGGAGTGCTCCAAACACAGCATGTTTTGTCCAACTGGGCTGGACAAATGACTGTAACTTCTGCTGGATCTCTCCAATAAGATTCAAGCTGTTGCATCTTCTAGTTCAGTTTGGAGGAACTTTTATGGGAGAGATTGCTGTACCATTTCCTGCAACTCTGTCATCTTGGCTCTGTTTCTCACTCCAGGTTGCTTCTTCTTAAAAGTCAATATTCAGGCACACGCTTCAAGGTCAATGACAAAAAGAAAGTCCCTACATACACCAAAATATTTATAGCAGCAGTTTTTTGTACTGGCAAAGAACTGGAATAAGTAGGTGTCCATCAATCAGGAAATGGCTAA